AATACTTTGCAGATCTTTTTAGGATATTCTGTATACCTAATTATTCTGACTGTGTATATAATAAAAATGTTCATTCTTTGAAATACTTTTTCTTACATTTGTTTTATTGCCTTATGGCATTGGCTGGATAACTTGTAGTACTTGATTGAATATAAATTGCAATAGTACTAAAAGATATTATTTTCTTATTCCCAAATTTAGGTAAARTGCCTTATTTTCATAATTAAATATGATGTTACTGTTGCTTTCTTTTAAAAGAATTTCTAAGAGAAGGGTATTGTGTTAGTTAACTTTTTGTTACTAAAACTAAAACACCTGACATAGGTGTTTTCCAGAGGAAAGAAGTATCTGGGCTCAGAGTTTCAGAGTATTCAGTCCATGGTTGTACAACTCAATTTCATTGGGCTTAAAAGGTAATGCAAAACATCATGGTAGAAGTGCTGCTCAGCTCATGGCAGAAATGAGGCAGAGAGAAAGAAAGAGAGAGAAGGGAAGAAGTGTGGGGAGAAAAGAAGATAAATACTTTTAGGACACATCCCAGTGACCTTTTTCTTCTCACTAGGTCCCACCACCAAATAGTTCATTCAATAATCAAATGGATTAATCCACTGATAAAGTCAGAGCCCTCATGATCCAATCATTTACTAAAAGCTCTATCTTTGACACTTGCTGCTTTGGGACCATGTATTAAGTATATGACTCTTTGTCATATGGGTCATTCCTCTCCTGGCCCCCAGAATCTCATACTCAGCTCACAATGCAAAATATATTCAGTCYATCTCCAAGAGTTCTCATATTCTTAAAACTTCTAGGATTGCTAAAAAGTCCAAGTCCAAAGTCTCCTTTGACACTCAAAGCAAAACTCCTGGCTGCAAGCCCCTATAAAAATCAAAAAAAATTACATACATCCAATATATAATGACATAGTGTAACATTTCCTTTCCAAGAGGGAATACATTTTAAAATCTTAAAATTTTTAGTTGAAACATGTGACTTTATTCCCATAATAATTTTATATAAGATTTTATTTGAAATGGATACATGCTGTTCCTAATAAAGGCTTTTGAATGATGATCTCTTTAAAGCTATTATAGCCCCCATCAATGAGAACTATTCATACAATAAAGTGATGCAGAGCTGGGGTCTTGGCTCAGCAGTAGAGCGCTTGCCTAGCATGTGAAAGACCCTGGGTTCAATCCTCAGCATCTTGTAAAAATAAGTAAATAAAATAAAGGTATTGTGTCCAACTACAATTTTTAAAAAGTAAATAAATAAAGTGATAAAAAATTCAAAACTATTTAAATATTAAACTATTTGAAATTGCATTTAAAGAAGCATCCAACAGTTMTTTCTTTTCTTTCAATCATAGCTGCAATGTTGAAATTTCTTACAAAAGTCAAATGATTATCAAATCTAATCACAAAATTTGATAAATGTTTTAAAATAATAAAATATTTAAAAGCAATGATGAAGTTCTAAATTGCAGAATGTGTATGCATATTTAAAATAGTCCATGCAACTAGTTTTAGCAAGAGTAAGTGGGAAATTTACTCATGATTGGACAAAAGTATTGGATATATATTAAGACAGAATCAAGGCCATTGCCTAGGACTACACATAGGCTCTTCACCATACTCTTACTGACAATGGATTATGCCTTGGCCTACAGCTGGAATTGAGTTTGTTCTCCTCCAGTAGCACCATGAGCCCCTTGTTTAGAATGGGTAGTGCTCCAAGTCTCACATATGTCTACTTTGAGGACTGTAACCCACTCTTTGCTTACCAGTGTGCCACGGGTCATTAAGTAAAGAAGATTGATATAGGGAACCATAATGCTAAAACTGGAAGCCTGGGCTTAATGCTTAAATATAATGAGGAATGCAAAATAAAAGAGCTGGTTTTATTTAAGACAAAGAAAAAGGCTCAATAAATATTGAGCACTTATTCTGAGTTAGGAACAATGTGCCAGGTGATTAACTTACATAATCTCTCATATTTTTTTATATTTGTTTATTTTAGTTGTACAAAATATCTTTGTTTTTATTTATTTATTTTTATGTGGTGCTGAGGATCAAACCCAGGGCCTCGCAWGTGCTAGGTGAGCACTTTACCACTGAGCCAAAACCCCAGCCTCCCCTCCCATATATTTTTAAAACAACTTTTTAAGGACACTGTTACCATCCCATTTTTGATTTAAATAATCAATATCCACAAAAAATTATCTTGCATAATCTCATGGAACTTGTGGGAGAACTGAGTTTCAATCCCAGTTTATCTGACTGGAAATTTCATAGTCTTATTCTGTTGAGTCAATGGACCTGGCTCAAATTCTACCACTGCTACTTATTTGTTACATGATTTCAGTTTACTTAATATATCTTACTTCATCTGTAAATCAAAGGTAACAAATAGTTACTGTATCAAAAACTTCATTTTATATATATAAAATCTCCTCAAAATGAATGAGATAATGCATCAGATATGAGAGCCTCTAGGGTGTGGTCCAAGCATCTGTAGTTTTAAAATGCTATGGAGGTGATTCTAATCTAGAAGCAGGACATTCTAATATGCAAAGTGCTAAATTAATGTGAACGGAGTGCTTAACTCAGAAATTGGTACATAGTAAGTGCTCAGAATCTTAGTATTATAATAGTAGTTGTCATTACCATTACCTTATAGATGCAATTTCTTGTGATGCATTTTGTATAAATAAATAAATGAAGATTAAGTATAAAATGACAAGATGAGATTTCTTGCAATGCCTACTTCCAAATACCTTTTATTCTTATCACTAACCACCACCTTGCTCAATGACTAGAAAATGTAAAAATGCATGGTAAGGGATGATGTTAAATTTTGTATGTGATGTCATAGAGGAAGTATGATCTTTATGATAAGGATTTTTAAGAATTAAGTCCTAGTTCTACCAGTTAAAAGTTTGGGGATCTCGGGAAGGCAAGACACTTAGCTTTAATTAGCTTTAGTTTATTCAATTGTCTAAAATTGAGCTAAGATGAATAACTTTGTATGAATGGAGAAGCTAAATGATATAGCATACCTAACATACCTAAGAAATTTTCTAGGCACAGAGTAGGATGCTAATAATAAATGTTCTACTTTATTTTCCATTTTTATTCACATATGCACATCATTTCTTTATTGGATTTCTCTATTTATTAATAATCTAGATCCTGAAAGTACAGTACGGCAGCCAGCTTCACTAGAAATGGATTTGACACCTGGAATCTCAGAGGAAAAAAGGGGGATTATAAGCCCTGTAAAGTTTGTCCTTTTGATATTGATTTTTAAAAATCAGACAGTAGCCAAGACCTTGGGAGAAGTAATTGAACTGACAACTAATAGGCATAGGTTTAAATAATGGAACAGCCTTGGACATTCTTGATGACTTAATTTAATGACAGAAGGGAGGTCTGAAACTGAAATGCCTGGAGTTGGGTGGATCAATGACTGGGTCTCTGAGGAGAAAACCAAAGAAAAAATATTTCTAAGAGCTTATTTCATGGAAAAAAATTATTTTATTATTATCCCAAATGTGAAAATGGTGTTGATTTTCTTGTTTTAACAAAATGAAATTGTAAAGGCTTAAAATTTGTCATCATTTTTCTTAAATTTTTTTTAGTTGTAGATGGACGCAAAATCTTTGTTTATTCATTTTTTATGTGGTGCTGAGGATCGAACCCAGGGCCCAACGTATACTAGACAAGTGTTCCACCACTGAGCCACAACCCCAGCCCATCCATAATTTTTTTAACCCTTACTTAGGAAAATAGACTTGGTTATAGTTATGTTATTGTAGAATGTTGGTGAGCATCTGAAGGATTAAAATATGGATATCTTATCTTTTGATCCCTACACTTAAATATCAATTCTATCATTTATTAATTGTATGACTTTGAGCAAGTTAGGTAACCTGAGACTTAACTTCCATGTCTTCAAAATGAAGATGTTAACATTTATTTATTAGTTATAAAATATTTAAGATTTAAAATGTATATGAAATCCCCTAGCACTTCATACAACAAATCATTATCAAATGAAAAAATATATAAATTTTGATGCTTTTATTGCTTTATACTGAAAGACTTTCCCTTTTTTCTATTTATTCTGGCTGGCTTACCTCTAGCTTTATTCTATCCTTTGGACTACTTCAGTGGCTTTTTAATCTTTCAATCCCAAATTCTGTCTCTTTCACAATCTTCTCTTCCATCTTATGACCAAGTTTAATAAAACAATGTTCTGATTTCTTTTATCTATACTACTGTCCTGGAAAGGCTTTGTGCATTGAGAACAACCTACTCCCCCATTTTAAAGGGGAAGTAATGTCTTTAGAATCTCATGCTGAGATTAGGGTTGAGCCCTGGACCCCAGGCCCATAGCAGAGGACAACAAAGGAGGTACAGAAGAGGACGTATATCTCTAGGTCTATTCAAAGGTATCAGGTATTTGGAGAAWTTTTTTATTGTAATTTTGTACTTAGTTATTATGTTTAGTGTTGTTGAATTTAAAAAATATTGCTGTTACCCTTATGGTAATATTCATTTCCATGCAAATTGTAGGTCAGCCTAGAGAGGGCAAGTTTAAGAATAATTAAAACTTACTTAGCATTCTTATTACCAAATGAGATTCCAAACCCTGTATATACATTAATTCATTGAATTCCCATCTGAATTCCATGAGTTAGTTACCCCTAGGTTTCTAGATTCCAAAGCTAACTGATACAAAGTTAATTATACTAATTAATAGTAAAAGAATATAATCTCTAAACTTATATGCTTAGCTGACATCACACATTGCAATCCTCTGAGCATTATTTATCCTTACTATACTGTTGGCCACTAAGCTGTATGACTTCCTTTAAACTTCCTTATTTTCTTTCTTAATTATCAGGAAATGGCAATGTGCATAATATAGCCATTTAATAAATTTTCTCTCTCTCTCTCTCTCTCTCTCTCTCTCTCTCTCTCTCTCTCTCTCTCTAGAGGGTCATTTTCAACATTGTTAACTTCAGTAAAACCAAGAGTCTTTATAGAGATGGAATGGCCCCTATGGTGAAATCTACCAGCAGACCAAAATGGTAAGTGACTCACAGAATGGAATCCCTTCCTGGTTAGAAAATTTGACTCAGGGCTCAAATTTATCTTTTGTTTAGATAAATTATCAGCCTCATTGTCACTGATAAATATGAATAAGATAAGTTTCTGAATGGGCTTTGTCTATACTCTAGGTACTACTCTTTGAAACTGATGGGAGCCTGATCCCATGCTTGGAATGACAACCTGACCAGCATTCTTTTATGAATTTATAGCTTGATATTATGTAAATAATCCTGTTCTGCTTGCCTTTTATTATGCTATCTTTAGAAGCATAATTAAAGTTGTCTCTTTTCTTCTTTTTTCCCTAGGCTAAGCATAGATAATGAATAATAACCTGGGAGGACATTGGGAACTATAGTAAATTTCTTTTACTTTGTTTGGTTTTTGTCATGTTCTTATACAGCAGTTGTATTTCTCATGGATGTTAAAGTTCTGTTTGTCCCATCATAAGAGTGAGGATGGGAGGGGTTGGCTAGGATTGTTTAATAAGAGTGCTGCTGTGGTTGCTGCTGCTGATAATGTTGACAATGATGACAATTATAGTAATAACTACTCCAGTTACTGAGACATCATTCTTTGTCAGATTCTTTACTTTTGCTGTTACTACTTTCACACTTTTGCAAGGATATTTTAAATATCACTGTACTGCAGATTAAAAAAATATGATACTAGAAAAAGTTAACTGCCCTCTCAAGACCATGAATAGTAAGGGAAGAAGCCTCTGTTATTTATATTTCCTCATACTGCCTTTGTAACCAATTCAGCCATCCATCCATCCAATTTATTCATTCAGCATACATTGATTGAGTGCAACAAAATAAGAGCTTTTAAAGATAGAAGCCAAGTATTAATCATGTACCACACAGTAGGTGTTAAGTGAATGCTTGTTGAACTAAACAGAATTCGTTATGAGAATTTACATGTAAAGTGCCTGGCACTTGCTAAGTGCTCAATAAATGTCATCTATTATTAATAGTATTATGTAAAACACTATACAAATGCAAGGAATTGTTAATATTATTCTAGCTTTGATCCCTGTTCAAATTTTAATGACTAGTGAGAAGATAGTCTCCAAATGTCTATATTTATAGAAAACTAGCAATTCATAAATATTGAATTGTGCTTTTATCTACAAATGATACTTGGAAATTTTCTATAAATGCTAGGCTGAGAAGCTTAGGTTTATAAAAGTGCAGACATTTGATGATGATAATGAAAACTGTTTATTAAAAGGTAGAAATAATCTCCCTCTCCATGCTTTTTGCTTTGCTGCATCAAATGAACTAAACTGCCTCACTTTCTCTCAATCTCTTTCTGACAGTGGGGTCTGTACAAGGGGTAGGCCTTTGATTTGAATCTCTGAATCCAGCCCAAGTAGATAATCATAGGACCCATTCCTCTAATAGGCATAGGTGGAGAAGAGTACTTCAAACCAGTAAAAGGACCTCAGGAGCGATCCACTCATTAGAACCTTCAAAAAAGATCATATTTTTTTTTCATTTTTTTGTATTGGGATCTTTTTTAAATTATTTTTTTCAATTTATATATGACAGTGAAATGCAGTATAATTCTTATTACACATATGGAGCACAATTTTTCATATCTCTGGTTGTATACAAAGTATATTCACACCATTTTGTGTCTTCATATGTGTACTTTGGATAATAATGATCCTCACATTCCACCATCATTTCTAACCCCATGCCCCCTCCCTTCACTTCCCATCCCACTGCCCTATCTAAAGTTCATCCCTTCCTCCCACGAATCGCCTTCCAACCCCACAATGAATCAGCCTCCTTATATCAGAAAAAAACATTAGGCATTTGTTTTGGGGAATTGGCTAACTTCACTTAGCATTATCTTTTCTAACTACATCCATTTACATGCAAATGCCATGATTTTATTCTCTTTTATGGCTGAGTAATATTCCATTGTGTATATATGCCACATTTTGTTTTATCCATTCATCCACAGAAGGACATCTATGTTGGTTCCACAATTTAGCTATTGTGAATTGTACTGCTATAAACATGGATGTGGCTGTRTCCCTGGAGTATGCTGTTTTTAAGTCCTTTGGGTATAGATCGAGGAGAGGAATAGCTAGGTCAATTGGTGATTCCATTCCCAATTTTCCAAGAAATCTCCATACTGCTTTCCATATTAGCTGCACCAATTTGCAGTCCCACCAGCAATGTATGAGTGTACCTTTTCCCCCACATCCTCTCCAATACTTATTGTTGTTTGTATGCATAATAGCTGCCATTCTGACCGGAGTGAGATGAAATCTTAGAGTAGTTTTGATTTTCATTTCTCCGATTGCTAGGGATGATTAACATTTTTTCATGTATTTGTTGATTGATTGTACATCATCTTCTGAGAAGTGTCTGTTAATGTCCTTATCTCATTTATTGATTGGGTTGTTTGTTTTGTTTTTGGGGGTGCTTAGCTTTTTGAGTTCTTTATGGACCCTAGAGATTAGTGCTGTATCTGATGTGTGAAGGGTAAAGTTTTGCTCCCAAGATGTAGGCTCTCTATTCACTTCACAGATCATTTCTTTTGCTGAGAAGAAACTTTTTAGTTTGAGTCCATTCCATTTATTGATTCTTGATTTAATTCTTGCACCACAGGAGTCTTATTAAAGAAGTTGGGGCCTAATCCAACAGGATGGAAATTAGGACCTACTTTTTCTTCTATTAGATGCAGGTTCTCTGGCTTTATTCCTAAGTCCTTGATCTATTTTGTGTTGAGTTTTGTGCACCGTGAGAGTTAGGGATTTAATCTCATTTTGTTACATATAGATTTCCAGTTTTCCCAGCACCATTTGTTGAAGAGGCTATCTTTTCTCCAGTACATGTTCTTGGCAACTTTGTCTAATATAAGATAATTGTAGTTTTGTGGGTTAGTCTCTGTGTCCTCTATTCTGTACCATTGGTCTACCAGTCTGTTTTGGTGCCAATACCATGATGTTTTTGTTACTATTGCTCTGTAGTATAGTTTAAGGTCTGGTACAGTGATGCTGCCTGCTTTACTCTCCTTGCTAGGGATTGCTTTAGCTATTCTGGGTCTCTTATTTTTCCAGATGAATTTCATGATTGCTTTTTCTATCTCTATGAGAAATGTCATTGTAAGTTTGATTGGAATCTGTATAGTGCTTTTGGTATTATGGTCATTTTGATAATATTAATTCTGCCTATCCAGGAGCAATGTAGATCTTTCCATCTTCTATGGTCTTCTTTGATTTCTCTCTTTGAGTTCTGTAATTTTCACTATATAGACCTTTCACCTCTTTTGTTGATTCCCAAATATTTTTTTTTAGGCTATTGAAAATGGGGTGGTTTTCCTCATTTCCAATTCTGTAGATTTGTCACTTATATACAGAAATCTCTTTGATTTATGGGTGTTGATTTTATATCCTGCTACTTTGCTGAATTCATTTACTAGTACTAGAAGTTTTCTGATGGAACTTTTAGGGTCTTCTAGGTATAAAATCATATCATCAGCAAATAGTGCCAGTTTGAGTTCTTCTTTTCCTATGTTTATCCCTTTAATTTCTTTTGTCAGTCTAATTGCTCTGGCCAATGTTTCAAGGATGATATTAAATAGAAATGGTGAAAGAAGGCATCCCTGTGTTGTTCCAGTTTTTAGAGAGAATGCCTTCAATTTTTCTCCATTTATAATGATGTTGGCCTGGGGCTCAGCATAGATAGCCTTTATGATGTTGAGATATRTTCCTGTTATCCCTAGTTTTTTCTAATGTTTTGAACATAAAAGGGTGCTATATTTTGTCAAATGTTTTTCTGCATCTGTTGAGATGATCATATGATTTTTATCTTTAAGTCTACTGATGTGATGATTACTTTTATTGATTTCCATATGTTGAACCAACCTTGCATCCCTGGGATGAATTCCACTTGATCATGGTACATGATCTTTTTGATATGTTTTTGTATTCAATTTGCCAGAATTTTATTGAGAATTTTTGCATCTATGTTCATTCTGTCAGGTTCTTGACATTTTTAAATATAAATGAGCCCTTGCCTATATATTTTAATACCTTAAAATGTTTAAGTTTGTTCTCATAGTCACTGTTAGAAGACTCTTAGCTATAGCCATTATTCAGTTTTGGAGCTTCACTATTACCTCAAAGAAACCTGACAAAGTTTCAGTTTGTTTTAGTTTATCAAGTTAGTGAGACAGAAATTACCATAGCAAATGAAGTTATTTTTATATCTAATTTTTACTTTTCATTCCTGATCATGGATACAAAGCCAGTCACATTTTTTCACAGACCCTTTATCTCAAAGCAGATGTTTTAATATGCTTACTTCATAGGACTTTATGGAACACCTTAAAGTGCTTTGTACTGCATTAAATATTGGGATGGGTAGGTGAATATGCGATAAAAGGGAACTTTCATTTTAGCATTTCTATTAACTAATTTCTACAGGTCATCGTTATTATTCTTGTGAATGCTACTCTGAATATCCTTTCTGCCCCCTTGGTATTAATTTTCTAGGACGTTTTCCTGTTCCTTGTGTTGATTACCAATACTCGAACTTATGTCTCAGTAGCTCTAATCCCAACTATATCAAGGTTAGACAAAGAAGTGGCCATGACCATGTAACTCTCAGAATATTAGATTTTAATGGCTCCAAGAAATGCATTGCAATTCAGATTCTACACAATGGCCTAATTCAAGTCTGACAAATACCCTGTAGCCATGCTACATCTCTATGAGCCTCAGTTTTTGCACTTTAAAAAGTACATAATAATACTYTTTCATCAAGTCATTATAAGGACAAATGTGGAATGTACATGTAACTGCTTTGTAAAGTATCAAGTGTCTTAACAACTAAACAAATTCCCTGTTTTTTTCTCTTCCCTTGATTAACTCAACACTGATTATGTGAGCATTATTCCTTACCTCCTCCCTCTCACCCTTCTTCTCTTCCTTGAATCTGTCAATGAATGCTTACTGAAT